AAACTACAAATTCAGTGACACTTAAAATATCGTCTTGATAACACCAGTATTTAAAGATAAGGAAATATATGGAAAAGGTCCAGTTGGCAGGCTGCAGTCAGGTTGTTGGTCTTAAAGATGAATTATAATTTGTTTTTAAGCTGCAAGTGACCCTACTCTTCCTTATTTTATAAATGAGGAAACTGAGGTCCAAGGAGAAACAGTGACCTGCCCAAGGTCAGAACACCAATGGGAACTTATAGATTATCACCCAGTTGTTCTTAAACATTTGTGTGGGGAAAGCTGTTCAGTTGCTGCTCTGGAGTTCTACCTAGAGAAAGTTTGGTGGATGAGGCCTGGCCTGGTGCCCAGGGATCTGCACTGGAAATAAGGCCTCCAGGTGAATCTGATGCAGGTAGCCCCAGACTGCATTTGTGCACTACAGAAACCCCTGAAGTGTCAGAGCAAGGACTCTGGAGTCAGACTGTAGGGATTCAACCCGTAGTCCCACCAGCTTCAATTTATGTGGCCTTGTATGCACTACTTGGCTTCAGTGAGACTCAGTTTTCTGATGTGTGAAAGTGAGACAATAACACTGCTGAGTTTATAGGCTCTGCTGAAAAGCCCAGCATAGAGGAAGCACTAAGAGCTGTTGGTGGTTGTCTGCAGGCCGGGCTTGAATGGCTCTCAGCTTGTCCTCTCTCCCTACTCCACATCGCCTCCCTTTCTCCTTGCTGCCTTCCCTTCCTGCCAGGTATTGCCCTTGGGCATGGCACCAATAGTACTCAGGCTTGATGCAAAAGTTCATTATTTGAGCAAAAAGAGGATGAACCTTCAAAATTTTATTATTCCACTTCTAGGTCCTGATGCTCAATTGTATGTATTCTACAGCTTGAACTGGATACACCTTGACTTAGGAAACAGCCTGCTATCAGAGTAAGCTCCTGGGTGAATGCTTCTTTTAAAATGCTCTGTCCTTTCTGCTGCTTGTGTTTGGGTTTTTGGGTGCAGTTGGCTCTCTAACATGGAATGGGGCGTTGTCAAAGTGGCTGTCCCTTTCCTTCCCTGAGGAGCAATTCCTCCCACCCAGAGTCCTATGCCTGTTGCTAAGAACACTCTGTGCTTGTCGCACACACTTTACAATGAAAACAAAGGCAAATAAAAATGTAACCACCATATGGTCTTGGCTGCAACCCAGAATTAACTGCTGATGGAGACACCTTGCCCTGTCACAGTTATAGCTGAAGTTGGCTGGGACAGAGACCCTTCTTCTGAATCCTAAAATGTTGGAGCTGGTAGCAGGTTGAACCCAAACTTCTTCAACTAGACTGCAGTCATAGCCAGAGTAATTAACTCAACAATTATGTTCCATGTTTGTTAATATGAAGTGTCTTTTATGACTTCAGAGTATAACCTCATTAGAGACAGAGCTCCTTTCTCAGTCAGAATGTCAGCATCAAATAAATGTGTATTTTCCAGCATGTTCCATGCATTCCACCTCCTCTGCTTTTAGTCTCTCTTTAAGTTACAAATGTTATTTCTTCCAAGGACTCCCCTAATATCCCCAAGACTGGGATAAGGGTTTCTTTCCCCTGGTCCCCTACTGCCAGGTATGTGTCTTTTAAGAGTTACTGCGCTGCATTAAAATGATCAGGTTAATGCACTGACTGTAAGCATCCTGAGGGCAGGGACTAGTCTGATGTATTCTGTGCCCGGCTCCTAGTAAAGTTCCAGCATAGAGTAGATTATCAATAAAAGCAAATAAAATTCAACTGCTCCATCTCATTTTCCTTTGCTGGCTCCTCCTCTTCATGTTAGAGTGGCCCATGGCTTCATCTTTGGAACTCTTCTGTGTTGATACTTACTCCCCAGGTGATTTCCATTAGTTTTGGTTTAAATCTTCGTGCTGATGTCTTCCAAATGTATGTCTGAAATGGACCTGTCATTGGAACTCCTCACCATGTATCCAACTGCCCTCTTGACATTTCTACTTGGATGTTCAATAGGACCACAAACTGAGCATATCCAAATCTAAACTCCCGATCTTCCCTACCTAGTTTGGTATCCCAAACTAGGTATCCCCACAGTGTCTCCATCCTAGCAAAGGGCATCTCCATCCTTCCAGGTTACCCAGACCGAAACCTTAAGGATCATCCCTGAGTCCTCCCTTGCACACTTAATATCTAATTCGTCATCAAATTCTGTTAGTGCTACTTTCAGAATATTTGCATAACCTGCCACTTCTTGCCCTGAGTCACTGCTGTCACTCATCCAAGCCATCATTATCTCTTGTCTGGATTATTGTCACTGCCTCCAATGGGTCTCTGTGCTTCTCCTATTGCCCTCTTATAGCTTGTTCCCAAGACTGCAGTTACGTAAATGTAACTGTAGTCCTTATAAAATGCAAGTTACTTAATGTCCACCTGTGCTCAACCCCACCCCCAACCTCCATCTCCTGCAGTCAAAGTGGGGGTCCATTCAGTGGCCAGTGAGGCCTGCACTGTCTGCTCTCCAGCGTTCCTCCCCTGATTCCTCACCTGCACCTCCCCGCCTCACTCGTGTTGCTCCAGCCACACTGACCTCCTTGCACGCCGGGAGGCTTCCATCTCCATCTTCACACTTGCTGCTCTCTTTGCCGGGGATGCTTTTTGCACAGGTTTCCTTGTGACCCAACCCCTCACCTCATTTACACTTTCATGCAAACATTGTTTTCTTAGTGAGGCATTTGCTGACCACTATATTCACATTTCAGCCCTCCCGACCCCTTTACTTGCTTTATTATTTTTCCATATCACATACCATCTCTAATATGCTACAGTGCACTTTTTAATTTTATTGGCTGTCTCTGCCTTTTGTCCCTGCAGTAGAATGCAGTCTCCCCAAGGGAAGAGATGCCTGTTTGACTGGTTCATTAGAGAAGAGTATTTGAGAGTGTAGCACACAAGCAAAGTTATTAATGTCACAGCCTAGAGCAGTATATATAAAAGTACATACTGGTTCAATTTGCAAAACACTCCCACATCCACATCTGACATCATCTTGGCAGGGTAAGCTCTAGGCTTTTTTGGCTTTTTTTTTTTAACCCACAACCAGATGTTGGTAACCCTTTTGACCCAATGTGGCCCAGGGTCAGCTCCCTTTTGACATTTCTTTATTGAGATCAGGAAAATTTTCCTCTGCCACTGACCTGTCCGTATGCAAGGAAGGAACTGACAAATAATTGGGCAGTTTTATAGTATACAAATGATCTTATTCATATCTTTTGCATGTATATTTTGGCAGAGTCTCTGCTAATGGACTTGGTCATGTTTGAGCTCAGCTGCAGCCGCTGCAGTTTTCTTTGCACGCTCTGTTACTGCACCCACTCCACCAATAGACAGTGTTACTACACCTCTTTTTTGTCCACATCTTTCAGAGACTGGTGTTATTTTGCTATGGAAGATCCCAAAGCTTATTGGATCTTTTGAGCCAACTGGACATACTTTTATGCCCCTTCCACCACTTTTTATGCCTCCACTGGTAGCCTCAACTTTTGCCAGAAATCAAAGATATACTCCAAGCAGGTCCTTGCTTTGGCCTCCACTGCCATTACTACTTTCCCTGTCTTTTCTTGGAAGAGGGAGAAACAGCATCTAGGGGAATGGAGGCAGATTAAAGATATGGCTCCATAGTGGTGTCATTGACAGCCTTCTCTTGACCTTTATTGACCTTTTCTTGGGGAGGGTTGACCACTAATGGCCTGAGAGCCATCGCTAGCCTTCACTTTCCACCTTTGGTTTCTACGGTTCCTAGAGGTGACATGCCATCCATGT